TGGCGTGTCATGTTCGAACAATCAGCCTTCTTTCCCAGAGCTTTCTAGGGCAAGTAAACATGAAGCAGAAAAGTGCTCTGGGTGACGTACATTTGGAGCTGTCACATCTCTCATACCTTTGCAGGCTGTGGGGTTTCCATGCTTAGAACAAATGTTGATCATTATCCAGTGACCCTATTTTGTGTTGGTGGGAGCTACTAAACACACAAACCACAAAGTTGAAAAAAGCTGCCGTGTCTACTCTAACGAGGCAGAGAACAACGTAACCTAGACCAGTGTTTCTCAACCTTGGCCACTTGAAGATGGGTGGACTTCAACCCCCACAATTTTTTCTGGCTGGGGAATTCTGGGAGTTGAAGTCCACACATCTTCAAGTGGCCAAGGTTGAGAAACACTGGTTTAGACTGAAAATTCTTCTTACATCTTATATCCCTGTGCAGGGGGAAAAAAAAGAAAAGAAAATAACATCTCTTTCTACAAGAATCTGTGTGCTTTGGGGTTTCTCCAGCTTGCTTTTTGTATGCTAATGTGCTATATATTTATCTCCGTACACTGTAAATTGAAACACAGGGGACTCCCTCCTTATTGGTTCCCACAGAAATTAATGCAATGTACTGCTAAATAGCTTGATCTAAATTACAGTTATTACAGCGCGACGCTAAATGGCCCTTCTCTTCCGTTTGTTTAGACATATGCGGATGTGATGGTTTTGTTCTGTTTTGTTGTTCAGGCTTAATGAAGAGTCTAGAAGAGGAGACAAAGTTCAACACATACTTGGTCTCTGAGAAATTTCCTAGAGAGCTGGAAGCAAAGAAACAGTCGCTGCACCTCTTGCAAAAAGTGGTGGCCGAGCCAGCCATGGGCCAGTCGGATCTCAACGAGCTTGAATCCAAAGTACGTGGACAGGAAAAAACAAGCAAAACAGCTAGCAAACATACCATTTTGAAGACCGCCTAAGAGCAGGGTTGAGAACAATGATCCGGAGTAGCATAGGGCAATTAATTGCCTTTTTGGGTGCCTTGACAGGGTAGTTGGTTTTTTTAATTGGGTTTGGATGATAAAGCCCACCATCCCCAGCCAGCATGAATAAGAGTTGTTGCTCAGCATACCATGCGGAGGAATCAGGTTGGGGCTGGGGCTTTAGTTTTGAACTCAGCTGGCGGAATAGACCCAAATCGGCTGAATCACTCTGACTAAAGGCTGCTCAAGCTGCAGAGGTTATTGACAATAGTCCAGTATTGTATTTTTCAGTGGAGCTCTAGCCAGATGGCCCTGGGATGCCCACCTGTAAGAGGGGAGGATAAGAGTGGGCACATACAGAGTAATCAAAGCCTTTGTCATGCTGGCTGGGAAGTATGGGAGTTGTAATCCATTCCGTTCTGAAGGCACCAGGTTAAAGTAAGATGACTTAATGTTAAACCTCTTTTACAACTGCCCAGGCATTGTCCAAATGCCCTGAAATAGATTGTTGGGGTTATCTCAGGATAACACTGGCCACCCTGGAGATTATCCCTGGGGACCCCTTTCACATTCAGGAGTTGGAACGACAAAAGCTCCTTTGACCCAATGTCCTCATTCATGAAACGCCAGAAGAATGCAGAGTCAATTTACTCCGTCTGTGAAACAAATACGCGGATAAATATCCATTTCCTTATTAGCAACCCCCCCAAAGAACTGTTGGTAGTTAATGTGCTCCCAGGCTGTTTATTTTTAGTAAAAGATAATCTTGAGTCCGAAGCAAAGTAACCGGTATTGGTGACCGTACCTTTCACTGTCTGGCCAGCTGCTTGAGGAGGAGGACAGTGAGCTGGAGTGAAATAAAGAGATTTACAGGTGTGGCTTTGTTTTATTTCCTGTCCAATAAAATGCCTTGATTTATATAATGCCAGGCCATTCCAAAAAGTAGGAATGAAAGAAAAAGATCTTTGATGTATCTTTATTTCAAAAAATACAACAGACAGGATGGGGAAACAAAGGGGAGGAGATTTTAAAAGTACAAATTTGGTTATAAAATTTGAAAGGGTCTTGAAGCCAATCTCAATTATTTCAGTAGGTAATATAATAGCTGTTGTTTTTATTTGCAGTCCCATTGCAGCCTCCTCACAGTGCATTTTCTGAACTGGCAGTTTGAGAAACTGAACAGCATAATTAATAATGAATAATTATTACATATATGTTAGCTTTTAAGGTGCCACAAGGCTCTTAGCTGTTTTTTGATAGAATATGGGCAAGTTTAGTTGATGAGTGCCTGCCTGTTCACTGAATATGTGCGAGCAAAGGCTAAGATGCCACCTGTTTGGCATTTTAATCTGGATTCCTGTAATGAGCAGGTAGTTGGACTCAGTGACCTAACAATCCTTTCCAGCTCTAGGATTTTGGCTTGAATTGCTTGCTCACTGACAAGTGGTTTCAGCGCTGAAAATGACACCGAAATAAAAACAAGTGGTTGCCATTTACTATTTTAAAACTCATGGTGTAATTTTAGAAGAGTTACTCAAAATTCCAGAATCTGTATTTTAGAGCCTAGATGTAACACTGCCTCATATAAATCCATCATTGAGAAGTTAACCTATTTCTGGAACTCGCTTCTGTCTGCAAATTTGGTGTGTTTATTACCCTGGCCATGAAAACATTCTCAAATGTTTTATCATTCCAGATAAAAGAGGTCAATGCACAAATCAATCAGTTAATTGAGAAGAGGATGATGAAATATGAACCCATTGATAGTAAATTTTCAATGTACCGGCAACAGGTAAGAACAAATTCTTTGCAGGACAAGCATGTGGAGAAATTGAATATTGTTCAATATTCAGTATTGAATATTGAATCCTAGCCTTTGTGACTTTAAATATTGCTGATTTTTTGATATGGTGGTAATAGTGTTTTTGTGCATCTGATGATTCCAAACTGCTAGCCAACAACATACATAATTTAATAGGTGGGAAAAGATAGGATTTTGGGTAGTGAATGTGACCCAGGGTCTTTTGTTTGTGTGAGCCTTGTGTTACAAGGTTAAGAATGCTACATAATGTGCTGGTACAAGAGACCAGTTGGCTCTTAATATAAAGTGCTGACATCCCTTGGAGGAGCCATTCCAGGAATTCAGAGCTCTTAGTCAAAAACAGATGGCATTCTCTGCCCAGCTCCACAGGATCCTTTCATCGGTTTTACTGGAGTATCCCGTGTGTTTTTAATACTATTTGTCACCATGGACCCAGTTTAGAGAAGGAAAGGGCTTGGATCACACCCAGACTGAGTTATTTCAGCCAGATAGAAGGCAAAACGCTGTAAGGGGAAGTTACTCTCAAAATTACCTGTACAATGGCAAAGTCTGCCTTTTGAATTAGCGAAAACACTGGGCTTGGATTTAATTTGAAGAAGTTTGTAATATATGTAGCTGCGTGTTTTGCCTGTAGCACTTTAGTTCTAATGTGTAATTGTGCCTTGAACATTATTTGTTCTTGCGTTAGACATTACCTAACATTATGCTATATAAAAGATGATATAAAAGGTGCCTCCCTAAGCTTTTGTATCTCAATAAAACCTAAAGAAAATGAAATGATCCTCCAGCTAATGGTTTTTGGCACTCAAATGTGGCACTGCATATCTGCTCTCTTTACCATGACCTCTTTCAGACCTCTCATAGAAAGGATTGATTGCAGGCTGCCAATGAGTCCAGAATGCTCGCTTTTGCACATGCAAGATGCAGCCAGTTAAATGCCATAAATGCCTCAGACGGAAACTGCTATCAAAACATGGATGCAGTTTTCCCTGCTCAGCCCTGCTAGAATTGGCATATGCTCTCATTTTTCAGGGTTGGCTCAGCTGCCAGTGAAGAACTCAAATATTGCTTTGTGTCTGAAATGGGATTAGTGTTTGGAAAATTATACCATTTAAAAATAGTGCAGTGGGCATCCCTGACGATCTTTTATATCAGTCTTCCCTGGAGGTTGTGCTGGTGGAGAGTTCTGGGGATTGTAGTCTATCCCATGTGGAGGCTGCTAAAGGTCAAGTGAGTGAGTTGTGATTGGTAATGCCCATCCAGTGTATGTGGTAAAGGAATATTACTGCATTACTGATTGCAAGGATCTTTTGAAAATGTAACCTTTGTGAGATATTTCTTTCTGCCTTACTCCATATACTGTATATCTGCTCTCTTTGCATGCCCGTGCAATACATGTATATGTGTCCTCAAGGAACTTGTGACCTCAGGGGTCCCTTTGATTATGATTATAATTGTAGAAAACAGGTGGTACGTTTCCATGCTGCTTGGAATGGGAAACAGGTTAGAAACATGTAACATGATCCTGAAGTCAGCATATCTTGGTTTAAAACCCCCTGAAAATGTAGCCCTTCCAGTATCATAGCTGCAGCTACTTTGCAATCTTTGGCCTGCCAAATGTTAACTGTAGCCCTAAAAGATTCCCCCACCTCACCCCGCAGTCTATAGACCAGGATCAAGCTATAAACAACCACATTTGGAGTTCGGTGAAAAAATAGAATTTCAATTGCCACTGTGGTATACTCGCAGTAAAATAAACTCTTTGGTCAGTTAGCCTTGTGCTACAATTTCTGAGGGTTTACTTGTTTTAAATGATAACTTTCAGTGTGTCTAACACAGTGTTTCCCAACTTCGGCAACTTTAAGACGTGTGGACTTCAACTCCCAGAATTCCCCAGCCAACCATCTTAAAGTTGCTGAGGTTGGGAATCACTGGCATGTCAGCTCTTTTCGTGGCATCATCCGCTTGGAAACCTTGCCCTAATACTGAATGGTCTGGGAACCCCCACAGGCCTCCATCATTTCCCGGAAGAAAACAGCCAAGGCAGAGGAACTTCAGACTGCCAAGGAAGAGATCACCAACTTGGAGAGGCAAATGATGCAAAAGTCAAGCCAGGCTCGGGAGCTGAACGGGGCAGAAGTCTTGAAAGGCGATGAGGTAAGCACCACCGTTCTGAGGGAGGTCGCAAATGAGTCTGAGGTCCCGACACACACGCTTTGTGTTCTGGCACTGGAGATTTGTGCTGCCTGGAAATCTTTGTGAGGGAAACAGTCATTTTATAAAACAGGGTTGGTGGTCCCAAGTTGGCTTGTCGTTATCTGGAAGAATTATGAGTTCAGAACTTCATTCTCTATTCATTTTGCATTTGGTTTATTGTGTATCTCTGAAGGATCTCATTCATTCCCAAGGATTGATGATGATCTGTAGGGTGCTACAGATTTCATTTGGAAGAGATGCTTTGGAACGCTCAGGAGCAAGAGTGCAGCCCCTCTTTTTGGCACTTTAAAGCAGCCACATCTTGTGCAACTGTGTTTGCACTCCTGTACAGTCTGAGAACCTCTTCTGAACTGAAGCTGAGGCACATACCAATCTTGGCTGTACAGTAACCCTCATGTTACAGAGTAAGCCTTAGAACTTCAAAATTAAATAGAGGTTTTTTTAAGGCTAGAGGCTTGCAGGATTGTCAGATTTGTGTGACTTCACCAATCTTATACAAGATTTCAATGTTAAATCCCCCCTGAAAAGGTGGTCAGCCCCTGCCACAAAAGTGTGCAAAATCAATATTTTTGTTCCTGCTTTCAGATCAAACCTTTCCCATGATGTCTCTCAATTCTCAGGAGGTAGATGCAGTAAATAAACCCATATTTGTACTCTTCTTCCCCTTTCTCCTTTTACGGATTCACATGAATCTGATGGAATTGGGAACAGATGTAGGTAGAGCCAATAATCTATCGGGCCCCACGGTCTTTGTGGATTGTGACATAGGCTGGCGTTTTGGAGGAAGGGGGAGAATAAACTAGGAGGAATAGATAGATGAAATTTTGGAAGGGATTAAGAAGCAAAGCTTGTTAGATGGACAATTCAAGGAAAAGAAAACAGCAGATTATGAAGAACCTAAGCTTAGTTTCCCCTAAGCTTGCTATTACCGTCTCTGGAGTCCAAGACACTATTCTTCATACCAAATATGGTTTTAGTCAGTGGTCTTTGCAATGTGAGACAGCTTGATGACCAACCCTTAGTCTTTAAAGGAAAATTACATTCCTAAAAGCTGCAGCATTTAATCCTCTTCTTACTGCATGTCTTCTGTTTCTGATTATTCCGCAAACATGGTGTCTTTGGTTCTCCCTTCTACATAGTGTATTTGTTTCAAACAGACCATTTGTTATAGCAAAGCCCCATGAAGAAACTGTGCTTTGTGACCCTCATGCCAGCAGTGGTTACTACACTGCAGCAGTGTGTCCTGCAAGAAAGGCAAAGGATCTTATCTGTTGTGTGTTCACTATGTTGTAAAATATATTACAACAAATCCACATTGTCAACACATCTGATGGGAGCAATCTGTTGAATTGCTAAATGTTAAGCTAAATTACATTAACAGAATGGAAATTGAGAATTAGCTGTTGGGTTTATGGCTGGATTGCTACATGGAATAGAGAAAAGATGAAGACCAGTAAGCCTGCGTAAATAACTCGCAGGCTTGGTTCGCACAATAGCTATTGATAATCATGGATTGGACTTGTCCTCTTTCGAAGCCATCCAAGATACTCATTTTCACAACCTTTTTGATTGGCGTTCCATAAAAGAAGAATGCTGCGTATGAGGGACTAACTGGTGTCTGAATCATCTGCCCATCCATTTAACGCTCGATCCTATATTGTTGTTATATTTCAAAAATCCCTCTGTCCTCTCTTTCCATCCAATGGGTCATTTTTAATCTCCTAAACCTAACGAAGATATTTGAGAGCAAATAACCTCATTGCTGAGTTTGAACTGGGTGGAGTTTATTTTACCTCAGCACCGTTTGATTTTACCCTCTTTGTATTTTTAACTTTTTTACGGGTCTTAAAGACTCAGAGCTGCAGTAGAGCAGCATCTTTTAAAGGAATCAAGGATGCTGAACGAGTGAGTGGGGAGAGCTTAACACAAGTCCTAAGTAAAGCCGTGAATGTCCTCTTGTTGGCTTTGGGATTCCTTGCCGGCTGTGAGAAAGGTGGAAATTGCCAGCCTGAAGGCCTGTTTGCTTTGAGATACGCAGTTCTCATCTGTTCGCAGATAAGGTGCCAGACGAGTGCACTTCTTTAATACTTCAGACATGAAGCTAGAGCCCTTAATGATTTGTGATGAGACTTCAGTTGCTGCATGCCTGCACCTCCCACCACCCCTGGGGGTTTGAGTTACTGGTATCCCCTTATGGCCTGTCTCTCACTAAGTTTGGTGCTCCAGTGAACCGATGCCTTTTCTGCCTGGACTTCTGCATACCAGCAATTGTATCCTCAGCGGAGGTCTTAACACTTCATCCGCAGAAAGGTCAGCTCTGGCTTATGGTTTTACCCGCCAGGGATGCGGAGGAGCACACCGCCTTCTGAGGCAAGGAAAGGCAGGGCATAGTAGGCGGATATATATATATATCCTATATATATTAGGGGAAACTGGGAAAGTTGTTCAAGGGCTAAAATGGCCTCTTGCAGAACGGGCAACATCTTTAAAAGAAAATCCAGACCACGCTGGCAAGCTTCTTCCTACAATTGTCAAATCCTGAAAATCAGAGAATCGCATGCCTGCACAAGAAGGGGAGATGGTTCAGTTACAAGTGATCCTAGGTAAACCAGGGATAATTTTAGCTCCATTTCATAGTACATTGTACTCTTCACAGTTGAACACCAGTTCTGGGGAACTAGGGTTGATTGATTGTTTCCCTCCCAGTAGGCTGCTCATAAGGAAAGAAGGGAAAAGACAGAGGGACCCTTATATACAAAAAATTATTTTCTTTTTGTTATCTTTTTGGCATTTTCAGAGCTCTGTCCAGCACTGAAAAGATGTCAGAAGAGGTATCTTCCCTTTTGGAGAGTCACTCTCCCAGTTGCAGTGAAGGCAGTGCTTTTTCTCCCTTATTTTCCCCCTCCTTAACGTCTTTATTAGGAAAAAGAGGGTTAAAACTTTTCTTCTGGAAATAGGTGTGGTAGGGATCACTGGTGTTGTTCGCAGGAGAATTGCACAGGTGATGCCAAAACAAATGTGCAGAATAATTACAGGAGCCAGGAACTTTTGAAGCAAGACACTTGCTGTCAGTGAAGCCAAACATATGATCCGCTCTTGGATGTAAAATACAGCTGAGCTCACGGGAATGCTCTTGAAACACCCCATCGGTATGCTAAATCGTTCACTTTGTTGTTTGTAGCTTTCCATTGAGAATCAAGATATGGCTGATTACTAATTGCGTTGCAGTATTGTCTGAATTACTAATAAGGGTGCTACTCTTTCTCTCGGGATCTTCTGGCACTGGCCAAGGATTCTGTTCTGCTGGAGCCAGTTAACTGCCCTCCTCACAAGAGCATCAGACAGGGATGTGTAACCAGTGAAGGATCATCCCTGGGACCTGGATAATCTGTACTTGCCAGGGATTGGGAACAAGCTGCAGAGACGAGGGAGTGAGGCTGGAACAAGAAGAGGAGGCACGGCTTGTTCACAAGTGCAACCTCATGACTCGGGAGCTGGGCCTAAACCTGGGTTCAGCCATCTTCTTGTTGTTTAGTCGTTAAGTCGTGTCCGACTCTTCGTGACCCCATGAACCATATTGCGCCGGGCCTTCCTGTCCTTCACTGCCTCCCTGAGTTTGCTGTTTCATGCTCATCAGCCATCTGCTGAGCCACAAAGCCCATTTGGTG